GGGGGGTCAGGGCCACAATTCTCCACCCACCTTACCATTTGCCTCTCGGCGAGCATGTTCCCCGAGCCCCGCCCTACGCCAACCGGCGGCGGAGGGTCAAAACACAAACATCCCCTGATCCGGGCGGGGGCTCCGGTGGGCATGGCGGCGCAGGCCGGGGAGGGGGGGCGGGGGCGAGAGGGGGGACCGGGCCCCCTGACAAGGTCTGCTTGCGCAGAGGGCGCCGCGCGATGGCGCCCGTTGCACTTGACCGCCCCTCGCCCCGCCGGGGCGAGACGTCCGCCGGCGGTCGCCGGGACTTGCCGGCCCCGACAGGAAGGCCAGCCGGCTCGGTCCCTGCTGCCCCCTTCGGGGCTTTTATGTGTACAGGCCCCCCCCCCCCCCGATGTGAGGCCGCACGATGCCCGGGTCCCGCCGCGGCTGCCGCCCTTGCCGCCACAGAATGGACAACGCCCTCGCCCGGGGGGGCGGGGGGGGGGAGGGGGGAGGGCGAAGCTCCCAGCGGAAGGCCTGCCCGCCCGAGGTCAGGGGACGATCGCGCACTCCCCCGGGCAGGGTCCATTCTTTCTCCTCGCAATCAAGCTGCTCCCTGTGTTGGCCGGCGAGGAGCGGCCGAGGTCCTCGCCCGGAGGAGCGCCCCCCCCCCCCCCCCGTCCCCCGTCCCCCGTCTCCAGAGAGGGCATATGACGGACCAGCCTGGGAATGCCCGGGCCCGGAAAGTGGTGCGCCAGGCTCTTTTGGGGAAGGGGCCCAGGCTCGGAGTCCATAACGCGGGGTTCTGGTGCCCACAGCTGCGGGGGAGGCCATCCTCCCCTGCCCAAAAGGAGGATGCCAGCCGGTTCTCCCCGCGAGAATGGGCTGGCCACCAAAAGACCGTGCTTTAAAATCCCAGCCTTTATATTCATCCCAACATACTGGCGGAAATCCAAACATGCGTGCACATACTTCCCGCCTCCCCCCACTCCCGGAGGTGGTGGTCCGCCTTGCTATGATGAGAAGGGACACGACAGAACTGGCAGCGGTCGCCCCGGGCAACCCAAGCCCTTGCGGCGCGCCGGTTTTCCCCGGCCCGTGCTTTTCTGGGACTATGGGCGCCCGCTCTCAAAGGCCGAGGCCCAGCCTCGGCTGGCCGGCCCCGCGCGTACGCGCACGCACACACCCGAAGACCACCGCGCCGCCCGATGTGCAGGCGCGCTCTGGAGCGTGCTGAAAATCAGGTCTTCCCCACCTCGGGCGCTCGTGCGGCTCCCGGACTGTCGCGGATAGGAGCCGGCTGGCCCTGCTTGGCCTGGGCTTGTCTTCTTGGCTCGCCCTCGGGCCTCCTGTTGGGGCAGCCCCCCCCTCCCCCCCCGGTTGGGCAGGGCGGGACGCCCGCATACCGGGGGGGCGGTGGGCCCGTTTCCCCCCCCCCCCCCCGGATCCAGACCACCTGGGTGGGCCGGTTGTTGGTCGTTCGCCGGGCTGCCGCCCGGCCTGTGCCCCCGTCCAAGGGACGTTGCCCCCCCCCCCCCCCCGGGACCGAGTAGCAGGGAGTCTGTAGCTTTGTGATGGCTGGGCTCTTCTTGGATGTTGCCCCAGCCCCCCCGCCCGCCCCCCCCCCTGCCCAGCTGGTTCATCCCCCGGGGCGTGGCGCCGGGCCTTTTTTTACGTGGAATTGCTCTGCCCAGAGCGAGTCCAGGCCCGTCGCCCCCGGGGGGCATGCCGATGCATCACCGGGTGCTGGGTCTTCGGCGGCGCGCCATACGAGCGCCAGGTCGACTCATTCATGCGCACTCGGGGGCCTGCCCCCCCCCCCCTCGCCCCTTTTAGGGACCTCGTGTGTCCGGGCGTTCGAGAGCCCTTCGCTGAGGACGGGTTCTTGAGCGAGGGCACCCCTGCACGGCTGTGGACTCCCCCTCCCGGGCGATCGCGGCTGCG